GGGATTCTCAGTCTGCAAGCTGAGCTTTCTGTCCACTTCTTTTCCAAATGGCTCTGCTGGCCTGGAGTCTTGGCTGTGGTGAAAGCAATCAGCAAGATGACTATTTGTCTTCCAGCCAGGGGCAGCAGTAATAGGCAAGTGCGGAGAGGGGTCCAACTTCCAGAGTTCTGCTGCTTGGCCAGAGCTTCCTGTAGCACCTGGTAGAGGGCCTATGTGGCTTCAGACCTGCCCCACCCTTGGGCCTCAGGAACCACGACGGAGGGCTTCTGACGGAAAGCAGGAGCCTTTCACTACCAGCCCCACTTCAGCTGCAGTGGGCAAGGGAGGGGGTTGCTGTCATTCTGGGGAGTGAGTGGCATTGTTTATTCTTTTGGGTGGTTCTGGGAAGAAGAGTGTGGAAGTCTGGCTGAAGTGAGCAAATCTAACTTATAGAATCCTGTAAAGAGCAACTGAGCCACTCCAAACACACATCCCTTGGATGCCAGTGTTGATTCTGGCTGAATGTTGCATTGAATAATTTGGTTTTAGTGTTGACTCTAGTAGAGAGCTCTCATTTCCCTCCATGTCCCGGGAGCTATGCGGCACTGTGCTCTGGGTACAGACTCCCGACTTCTGCCCTTTGACTCTGGCCAAGGGCTCCTTAGTGGTGCTGCCTTCTGGTCACAGGTGTGGGTGGATGACATTCTCACTTCCTGCATGGCCCTAGAAATTAGAATGAGGCCTTGTTAGAGCAAGGGCTTTAGGAGTCAGGAGTTCACAGAGTTGCTCACCATACCATAGTCTTTGAACCCAGTAAAGGTAACTAACTAGTAACTTGTAATAATTTTTCTAATCTGTGGCTTTGGGAAGTAGCTAAACAGATGGATACAGGACAGTCCTTGAAACTTGGACTGCTTTAGATTAAAATCAAGTTTGCCCAGGGAATGACTGCATCTTTCAGATGGTGACCAAAGATTGGGCCTGAGATTCTTTTCACTGTCAGTGTCTTAACTGATGCCTATGAGATAGGAAAAAATTGAGAGTTTGCCTGAGAGGTTTGCATGGTTAGATCTCTTGGAAGTCAAAAACTTCTCTGACTAGACACTTTCGCCTTTGGACAGAACAACCCAATTCTCAGTGGGCATTTCACCAGGACTAACCCGTGCCTCCGTGAACTCTTTCCCATTGTGCACTTAGCCACCTGGCTGGCCTTTCTCTTCTCCCAGGAGCTTCCATGACTTTCCTACATATGTATTATGTCAACTGAAATGAATATTTTATGCTTAGAGTGCAGCCAAGCCTCAGACTTTGTGGCCCATTATCGACAAGCGGGGTGGGGGCTGGGCGCCACCTTTGGCCCCATGATAGCTCTGCTAAATGGACTCTCCGCCACCCCCCTCCCCGCCCCCCAGCAGCACTTTGAAGCCCATTAATGGATCGGGATGAAGTAACCTCAGCAGATGGAAAGGGCGAGGAGGGTGGTTGTCCTTCCTTCCCCAAGACTGCCTGATGAGGCTTTCCTGCAGTCACCAGGTACCCCCCCCAGCCCCTGCTGCCTGGTTAAGCTGTAGACTGGGGCTCCTAGAGGCCGCTGCGGTGAGAGGAGATGGAGAAAGGGTTCGATTCTCTCGGAGCCGGTGGTGCTGCCAGTTTTGCCGCTTGCCTAGCAAAGCAAAAACTCAGAGGGATGGGGAAAGGGTGGGTGGAGTTTAAGCCTAGGCCTTCCTCCTCCAGCGGAAGTTCAGCAAAGTGACAAACCAGATAGGTGGCTGAGTTTCCTTCTTTTGATGGGAGGTGCCAGCATTTGTACCTTTTTGCACTTCTAGTTTGGATTCTCCAGGCTTCCTCGCAGCCTTCATCAAACACGAGTGAGTCACTGCAGTGTTATCTGTGCATTTTCCCCTTCTGTCTCAGCAGAGGGAAGAGTAAGCCTTTACAAACTGTGGGGGAGGAAACCACCCATTTCCACTTCTGGCATGGGAAGAGGCCATCTCTCCCGACGTTAACTCTGAAAGCTCTAGCTCTCGGAGCAGAATGTCACCACCCCACCACAGCCCTTTTGGTGTTGGCCGCTGAGTGCCTTTGCTGTCCTTTGGGCTGCCATGGTGCATCTGATTCTGAAACAACACCACAAGAGAACCTGACCTCTTGGTTTCCAGTGATCCTTCAGTGAAGGAGGGATCCCAGTTCCTTCTCTTGCCCACTAGGCCTGCTCATCCTTTAGGAAGTAGAAATAGGCCAGATCCCTTCACCTCTCTGTCTGCTTTTGCTAGAGGGTTTTAAGTTTCTTGGTCCCTAGGCACTCTTTCACCCTACTTCCATTTATCCCTACATTTCTCATTAGAAAATGAGGGCAGAAGGGGCAAAAACAAATGCATTTCCTTTTGCTCATCAGATGGTTAATGTTAGGCTTATGAAGCGGGGTAAGCACAGGTTTGGTAGGCGAGGGCAGGATGGACACTGATATTGATGGCTAGGTGAGTCCTGAGGGACAGCAGATAGGAGGGGGGAAGGAGGGGGGCAGGGAGAGAGGAGAAAAGGAGGGGTATATTCAATGATTGTCTCCAAGCCACCTTTTTCCTTTTAACATAAGGAAGGCGGGGCAGACCAGAGACTTCTCGGTAGAACCAGTCAAGCTGGTTTTGAGCAGCCTTGGCCTATTTTCCTGTGTGCTCTTTGGGAAGTTGGCCATACCAAGGTCTGCCTCCTCTGGGGCTCTGCTCATTGAGGTATGAGTTTAGATGAGGTCTGTAAACTCCCCCAGCCCCTCCCAATACTGAATGGTCTCTGAGCCAGGCCTCTCTACATGAGCGGGCTCTCTCTACACCTAGGGCTATTCAGGGCAACTTTGTCTTACACACTTTTCACCGGACTCTGGAAGATACAGCTCTTGTTCTTGAGCCCCCTTCGCAGGTCACGGCTTGGCAGAAGGCCCTCCAGCCTGGCCAGGGAGAAGGGACTGGGTCTGTGGTTTGTGGATGGGGAACAGACTCCTGGCTGTTGTGATCTGGCAGCTAAATCCAGTAAGACCCCACACCTTTTGGCTTGATGCAGTGGGACTGTCTGTCCAGGCCTGCTGGGGAAGAAAAAAGGAGAGGATAGTTTTTGGTCTTTGGCAGCTCAGCAGGTACTTCAGCCACGGCGAACAGTGTGAGTTTGTTCCTGATCCGTACCTGTACGAAAGGTGGGAGTCATCAGTCACCATGTGCTGGCACTTCCTGAACAGTGGCAGGAAATCTTTCTCCGGGAAAGGACATAGGATTCTGAGGCTCCTATGACCATTAGCGCTACTAATACAGCAGGATTGTTTTCCCAGTCCCCCACTAAACGGAAAACTCCCACGTCCGAAAGTTTGGTGATTAATGAGTGAAACCACCTGCAAACATAGTTCCAGCCCTTGCCCCTGCCCTTGGCGACGGGCTGCTCCTGTCGCTACTACAGTGATCTACTCATTGCTTCTCCGAGCACCATTTCACTGAGGGTTTTGTTTTGGTTACGGATACCCTGTATGGAGGGTGGCCCCCTTTTCCTGCACCTTCTTTAGACCCGAGGGTCTGCTGGCCTTCCCCTACCCGCCATCACTTCCCCACCTCCCCTCCACAGATGGCCATCATCTGAGTGTCTTTGCATGTGGTGTTGGATGCACTTGTGGCTTGTTGCTTTGTTTTTGCCCACAAGAGTTTGAATTACTGGTTCTCTAGTCACAGGAAGTGGGGCCCCTTAGGCCTGCTTGGTCTAGCAGTAGCATTCTAATTGAGTTGAGCCTATGGCAGAGTTGAAAAGAGATCCCAGCACTTGGGGACATCCAATAAGAGGTGTGTTGTGGTTACAGCAGGCTCTACATTTCGATTCCCTGTACTGGAATCTTGGTCAGTCCCTACTATGACCTTGGGCTTACTTAATTGCTCCAGGCCTGTTTACTCATCTGTAAAAAAGGAGTAATGATAGTACCTATCTTGTAGGTATAGTTATTGTGAGCATTAAAAGGGGTAATGAATATAAAGCACTTAGAATAATGCCTGGCAGGACATAATAATCATTGTTGTCACCATTCTAGTTGAGCGACTCAGTGGGTTTTCTCTGAGCACCACACAACTCCAGGTCAAGATATGTTGGAATTTCTCTGAACTGATTGAAAGAATCTTGGTTTCTTTTAGTCATTAGGGTCCCTTAGGTGCTCTTTCCAGCAATTTTTTTAAAAAATTGTTTATTTTGGGCGCCTGGGTGGCTCAGTTGGTTAAGCATCTGCCTTCGGTTCAGGTCATGATCCCAGGGTCCTGGGGTGTCGTCTGTTCCCCCCCCCCACCCCGCATCAGGCTCCTTGCTCAGTGGGGAGCCTGCTTGCTTTTCCCTCTCCCTCTGCCTCTCCCCCTGCATGTGCTCTCTCACTCTCTCAAAGAAATGAATAAAATCTTTTTTAAAAAAATTGTTTTAGTTCACTGTTTTTTTGTTTTTTTTGTGTGTGTTTTTTTGTTTGTTTTTGTTTTTGAGCCAACCAGCTATCTGAATAGAATGCTGTTAGGTTTAGATACTATTGAGATTACTTTAAAAAATGGGGATGCATTTATTTACAGGATATCAATATGATTAAAAAAAGAAAGAAACACCCCAAAACATTGCCTTCTGCTCACCCATATTTCTGTATTGTGAGTGGTGGTGGTGGTGGTGTATGTGCAGCCTCATTGGTGCCTGGAAGGCCAAGTCCAAAGTCACCAGAGCATGGGTTTTTCTGAGTGTCGGGATCCGGGTATTACAAGAGGCCCGCTGAGCAAGCCCATGGGATTTCTTTCACGTTCCTTTCTTCAAGTGCAGTATTTACCCTTTGGCAACAGGAGAAAGTTCCCTGTTTCTCTTAAAGATCACATGGGAACTTAGCAGCTAATGATTTTAGGTTCCTTTTTCACTAGCAAAGGGGCCTTCAGGGGCAGGTCCTTGTTATCTCTGTTGGCTTCCCTGAAGTGAGAAGAAAGCCCCCCCCCCCGCCCCCTTTGTGAGGCCTGGAAGGGTCGCAGCCATTTCTCAGCTGCTCCTAGGAGTTTGCGGACTTTGAATCTTGGGCTGAGATTTTGGTCTCAGTTGGTTCCTTGTTTATCTTCATCTCTTGGGGCTTCTAGAGCCTGAATGCCTGGTCAGAACAGCAAGTAAGTTGCTTCGTTTTTTCACATTGCAGCTGCTGCCAAGGAGAAAGGTAACAGTGTCGCCTCAGAGCTCGTCAGGGAATATTTCTTTCACCGTATTTTCCTCTTCCTTTTGACCCCTCTGCTGACTTCTCTCACCTCCTTTTTTTCTGTTTGATTTCTTTGAATTCTGTTCCTTCATTATCACTGTCCATCTCGGGCTTTCATCTCCATATCCCACTCTGCCTGACCTGTTTTATGCCTCTTTTGTGGCAGGGCTCAGGAGAGGAATTCTGATAGTCTGAGATCTCCTTCATGTATAGAATCCCAGAACCACCCAGTCCTTTCTCCTATTCCTCTGATTTCTATAAAGTTAAGGATTTGCTGCTTTAGAAAACATTTTCTTTTTATGTCTCTGGAGCCACCTTCCTTAGTAAAGCCAGGCTTGGCAATCTGACAACTTACTAGGGTCGGCATCCCAGTTTCCCTGGTGACAGGGTCTAAGCTAGTTCTGGGCTGTTTTCCTGTGGCCTGTCCGGAATGCTCCAACGCTGGACCCTGTCTTGAGAGAGATCTGAGGAGGCGCTTGTTAATTCTGGTAATGCGATACTGAATGTAGCTCCCGAAGTGTGGTTTGAGGACCCTGGGGCTCCCTAAGACCCGTTCGATGGTACATGAAATCAAAATGAGTTTCATCACAACATTAATGCATTATTTGCCTTTTTTCACTCTCATTCTCTCGATGTACAGTGGAGTTTTCCAGAGGCTGAATGATGTGTGCTGACATCATCACTCTTGACTAATGAAATGTGTGCTTCTGTATTCTTGTGTTTTCTGGAATGTTTAAGGTAGTCCTTTAAGGTATAAATATGGAAGTTTGCAATGATGGACTCGGTTTGTTCTCAGTACTTCTACTGTACTCTTACTAGCTGTCTTCAGTTGTGCCTGCTGTAATCCCTGTAAACCTCATTGTTGTCCTATAAATCATTATTTTGAAATCCCAGCATTTTCCTGGCACCTTCGAGGAAACACAACAAGAAGTAAGTACAGCTTGTAAAACTTACTTGTAAAAGCTTTGGGGAAAGCTTCTAATTTTAAAAATTTCACTTACAACTTATTTTAGCACTTTATTCTAAAACAGGAAAATTTATCATATTTCTCTTATATTTAAGGATGGATTGTTGGCTTTAAAAAGGGAGATTAGAAGACTTAGCAATCTCTGTTTACTGAAACGGACACATCAACAAGTGAATGGGAGGAATCTGAAGAATCTAGGCAAAACTGTTAATAAGAAATGAAAAGTTACTGAAAGAGTCAATATTATAAGGAAAGCTGTTTTATCGTATCTTATGCAACAGAACACGTCTGTGTAGTATTATAGTGCCAGTTAAGTTGCAACATCCTGTCAAGACCAATCATTCAGAGCTTAAAGAAAAAGGAATTGAGTATTTTAAGTGTACACACCATGAGCTCCTTAAATAAGAGCCAGAATTTGCTCCAGCTTTCCAACCTAGAAATGAAAAAGTCACTGAATCTTACCAGATAAGTTTTGACATTGCTTTGGCTGGAAAAGCCCACCCAATAGCCGAGAGACTAATAAAGTCTTGAGCAGCAGACATTGCTGAATGCCCACTGGATGAAAAGTCAGTAAAATCCAGGGCAGGGGCACTTCATGTGTTACCATGACTCGTCGAATTAAAGTTCTAGCTACAAATACAAAGACTGAGTTCCTATCTTGTTTGCAGAATCGTGCTTTTGCCTTACAAATGAGCAGATTTACAGACATGGCTCAACCTGTGTCTGCACCAACTACGCCTCAGAGAATTTTCTTTTATGTGAATGCTCAGCAGTGAACACAAGTAGTGATAAGTATGCAAGGGGTTGAATAACTCCTTTGACTCTCATGGTTCATGAGAGTCATGCATTTGCATGACTGGTGCAGAAGCAATGACAGAGAATATTGCCGGCATCATAACATGAATCAAGGCAGTGAGTGGCACCAGACTCTACCAGTGGTGGTAGTCATGGACTTCTTTCCCGCTCTGCGTGTGCAGTTAAAAAAAGAAGAAGCCATTTTCACTTAAGAATGTCTTGGATGAAGCACTAAAAATTATTAATTTTTATTAAATCTCAACCCTCTAATAAAAGTCTCTTTAATATTTTGAGTGATGAAATGCCAAGGATCCATGGAGCCTTGCTGCTGGATACCATAGTACAATGACTGTCTTGAGAAAATGCACTAGTGTGTGGGAGCTGAACCAGCTGCATGGATCATCGTTTTTACTTGAAAGAACAACTGATGGATAAACTGTAGTTACTCATACTTGAGTGTTTAGTGGACATTTCCTCGAAATGGAACAAATTGAGTCTGTCACCATTGCCAGTGATAAAATTCAAGCTTTCAGGTGAAAATGAGAATTTTCGAAAACTTATATTTGTCAAAGACTTTTTTGATGAGACCAGTTGTAAAATTAATGGAATGTGATTTTTTGATATTGTATGAAATGTCAGTATTTGGAAATACTGTATAATTCAACGAAGGAACATTTCCCAGATTGCTAATAGGTAAAAGAGCCACTCAAAAAGTGCAAGATGACCAATGGATTTTAACGTTAAAGTACACAAAAAAAATTCATTGATAAAATCTCAGATTGCACATTGCAACTAACTTTTAAAAACTACTACTTTTGAGTTTTGGTCTGATGGTGAAGAAGAAAAATTCTCAGTATCTGAAAGGCTATTAAACTCCATTTTCCAACTACAGGTCTGTATGAAATGAGATTTTCTTTATATCTTACAACCAGAACAACAGATTGAAGCACATCGAATGCAGAAGCAGAAGTCAGCTTTCGTCCATTAAGCCAGACACTAAAGAGATGTACAACAATGTAAAACAATGCAATTTTTGCCATGAATTTAATTTTGTTTTAGAAAATAGTTTTTTCACACAAAGATATAGGTTTTCCATATAAACATGTAGTGGGCTTATTATTTTGAATGAATTAATAAAAATATTTTTTAAATTACCGTTTCAGTTTCTAATAAGGTAACTGTCGCGATAGCTATAACCCCCATAAACAAAAGCTTTCTGCAGTCCTCGGTAATTTATTTAAGAGTGTAGAGAGTTCTGGAGACCAAAAAATGAGAAGAACCTTTGTTTGTAGACAAAACTTGAGTTGATCGTCTGTCTTGGGTTGGTTACTTGTGATGACTTCATAAGGAGCCCTTGTTTACAATTCCAGCTGCTATATAGTCCTGTCTGGGCCCCAGAGACTTTGACCCAAGCTAACTTATTTCCTTCTAATACACACAGCACTGGCCCCTTGAGGTTGTTCATTGTTGTTTTATCTGTGGCTTGTTTGTTTATTCACCCTCCCTCTTTTTCCTTAAATTTTTTTATTTTTCCCGTTTTCCCTTTCTCTTTATTCTTTCAGGTTTTCCTCATTTTTTTCTTTAGTTTTTTAGTGTGGGGTTTTTTGAGTTTTTGGTATTTTGTGTTTTGATTGGATTATGAGATTAGTTCATGGGGTGGACTTCCTTTGGTACTTGTGAAATTGTGGTTTGGCAAATACAGTTTTTTGGGTTTTTTTGTTTGTTTTCATTAAAAATAAGTAACTCATGGGGCACCTGGGTGGCTCAGTCAGTTAAGCATCTGACTTTTGGTTTCAGCTCAGGTCATGATCTCGGGGTCATGAGATCAAGCCCCACATGGGGGTCCGCGCTCAGTGTGGAGTCTGCTTGAGATTCTGTCTCTCCCTCTCCCCCTCTGCATGTGCATGCTCTCTCAAATCAATTAATAAATCTTAAAAAATAATAAGTAACTCATGTTTACATGTAATGGGTTTATTATGTTCTTTTAAATGGATGGATACATATTTAAGTCTTTTCTCATTTCTAATACAGTAAATGTTAATAGATACTGTCCATATAAACAAAAGCTTTTGGGAGGACTCCATTATTTTTAATAGTTGCAGAGAATTTCTGAAACCAAAAAGTGTAAGAATCACAGATGTAGACAAAACTTGGATTAATTCTCCCTGGCTTTGGTTGGTCGATTTCTTGGTAATTTCATAAAAAACCATTTTGCAATGCCCAGCCCCTGTTTAGTCCTGGCTGTGCCTCAAAAAGGCACTTGCCGCCTTTGCTGTCATTCTAGCTGAGGAAGCTGGTTCTCAGTGACCTGAAGGACTTTGACCAAAGTTGGCTCATTTTTTCCTTTAAATACAGAGCATTGGCCTTGTGAGGTTTTCTTAAACAGTTAATTTTTTAAAAAATTTTTGAGGTAATCTTAAATTTAGAAAAGTTGCAAAACTAACCCGAAGAGTTCCTGTACATTCTTCACTCAGCTTCCCCTTGTGTTAACATCGTATATAACCACAGACCGTGTATCAAAACTAAGAATTAACCTTGGTATAATACTATTAACCACAGAACAGAACTTGTTCAGATTTCATCAGTTTTTCCACTGATGTGCTTTTTCTGTTCCAGGACCCACTCCAGACTCCCACATTGCATTTAATTGTCACATCTCCATAGTCTCCTCAGATCTGTGACCATTTCTTAGTCTTGCCAAGTCTTTTATGACGTTGACAATTTTGAAGAATACTGGTTAGTTTATAGAATGTTCCCCAAATATGGTAACCTGAAATTTTCCCATGGCCTTATGCTCTAATTCCGTTTTTTCATTGTGGTAAAATACACATAAAATTTACCATTTTAATCATTTTTAAGTCGAGTGGCATTAAGTACATCCACAATGTTATATAACCGTCTACTATTTCTAGAAATTTTTTGTCATCTCAAACAAATTCTATATCAATTAAAAAAGAACTCTCATCCCCCCCTCCCCCAGCTTCTTGCAACCTCTATTTTACCTTCTATGAATTTGACTACTCTAGGGACCTCATGTAAGTGGAATCATACAGTATTTGTCTTTTTGTGTCTGACTCCTTACACTTAGCATAATGTTTTTAAGGTTCATCCGTGTTGTAGCTTTAATTCCATTTTAAAAGTTAACTCAGGAGTTGCCTGGGTGGCTCAGTCAGTTCAGAGTCTTGGTTTTGGCTCAGTTCATGATCTCATGAGATTGAGCCCCACGTACTCAGCAGGGAGTTTCCTTGAGATTCTCTCCTCCTCCCTCCGCAACCCCCCCACACCGTGTGCGTGCGTGCTCTCAAATAAATACATAAATTTTTAAAAAAATGTTCACGCGGGTTTTACTCTGACGGTAAGTATTTAGTTGATGTTAGTGTAATTATTAAGACGTGTAGTTGTAATGGGCTTAGTAATATTTTAAATGAATTAATAGTTTAGTATCTTCTCAGTTTTAATTATAATAGTCGTTATAACCCACATAAACAAAAGCTATTTGAGGTCCTTAGTAATTCAGAGTGTAAAGAGAGTGTAAAGGGTTTCTAGACAGAAGTGTGAGACTATCTTTTATAGACAAGCATGGGGTTGATCATCCCTGTCCTCAATCAGTTGGTTACTTGATATGACCTCATACTGAGCCTTTGTTGTGCAATTCCCTGAGTGCTGGCTGGGCTGCAGGAAGGTACTTGCTGCCTGGGTTTGCAGTCATTCTAGCTGAGGAAGCTGGTTCTCAGTGACCCAAGGGACTTTGACAAGTTGGCTCTTTTCCTCCTCCTAATACGGAGCATTGGCCTTTTTTTTCCTTTTCCCATTAAAAAGATCATTTGGCTTACTTGGATTTCATTTTCACAGATTTTTTTTTAAGCTTATGCATTGGCTATTGGTCAATTCCAAATTTGAAAACTGCAAAGCTTGCTTAGCTTCTATCCTTGAAGAACCTTGGTGTCTGTAATAGTTGAAGGCCGGTAGGCTCCAGTCGCTCACTACGGCCAGAACACCCCAATAGTCTGTTCCCTGGGTGGCTGCAGAGCCCACACACTTTGTTCCTGTTTCTTCTGTGCTTAACTCTGTTGGCCCTGTTTCTTAATGAAACATGCCTGCCAAATCCCACACTTAATGGAGATACACTTTATTTTCTCCTGTAAGAGGTAAGCAGATTTGGTGTGTGACAGGGTGTAAACTTTATCTGTGCTTGATGAGTCTTTAAGGGACAGGTAAAATAGCAGTAACATAGTATCTTAGCATTCTGGGCCTTGTTCTTTTGCTTGTACTTATCCTCCAGTTTCCATGGCCTCTCTGACTTTGGAAGGCTTCCCTTGGGGCAGCTAGTGGTAGACCTTGGGGCCTTCTCTAATAGTCACTTGCACCAGCTTGAAGCAAATCTTTTTAAATTCGTCTCATTTGCTCAGAATCACTTCTCATCGGGTCATTAAAAAACAGTGTTTAATCAAGTGCTTAACTTATATCAATTTGAGTCTACATATAGACTTGCAGGATTATAGCTCCATTTCCCATCACTCAGCAGTCCCATAATCCTCTGCTTTTTACACAAAGCTTATTTCTTTTCAGATTCACATGTGGCTTTCATTTCAATTCCAGAATTGAACTTGATGTGCTTTTCTCTCTCTCTTCGGCCGCTGGTCTGTATGGAAGATAGACTTTTGCTTTCAAAGGAGATTTGTTCATTCTATTAGCTAACGCGATGACTCAGTAACGGTGCCTCCTGGATGGCCCTCTAGTACATTATTTTTCCAAGTGGTTGGGGAACTCTAAAAGGGAACGGACTGAGTACCTGAAGGGTCAACCACCCCTGCCCATTCTCACTCACAGGGCATAGTTCGCGCTGAGGCTACTGGCTTTAGCTGTAGACATCATAATAGCCAATATGTATTGAACACTTAGTTTGTGCCAGACACTTGTTTAGCTGTCTTACGTTGATTAACCCATTTAATCTTTGTGAGTTGGTAGGTCTTACTATTTTACGGATGAGGAAACAAGAGGTCCAGAAATGTTGAGTAACTTGTTCAAGGTTACAAACCCGAGCGGTCTGGTATGTGTTGGTGTCAGAACAGAACTTTCTTGGGCGCCTGGGTGGCTCGGTCGTTAAGCGTCTGCCTTCAGCTCAGGTCATGATCCCAGGGTCCTGGGATCGAGCCCCGCATCGGGCTCCCTGCTTGGCAGGAAGCCTGCTTCTCCCTCTCCCACTCCCCCTGCTTGTGTTCCTGCTCTTGCTATCTCTCTGTCAAATAAATAAAATCTTTAAAAAAAAAAAAACAACAGAACTTTCTCGACTGTGGTTCTGCTTCCGTTGTGTCCGCGCAGTAGGAGGTAGAGAGATCCCTTAGGATTCACTCCTAGTCAATGTGGGGTAAAACCTGCCTCCCAGGTTGCCTTCAAAGTGGTGCATGGCCTCCTCTGCCCCAGATTGCTTCTCCCTTTGTGGCCCCAGGGTGAGATGCAGCTCTCTGGGCTTACCTCCCTGGTCTTGCCTGCTCCATATAAGAGCCATGGGAAACTTCTTTTTAAACTTTATTATTTAATCCTGGCTTCTGATTGTCCTCTCTATGTCTTCTCATCTTCTGGAATTTCAGGGACTGTTTCAGAAAAGCAAGAGTCCTGAGACCTAAAATTGGTAACCAACAAGTAAATACCTCATAGCATGGGACAGCTTAGATTCCTAGATTTGACTGTCTTGCTCTGTAGCACCCACGAATTGCTGGGATTCTAGAACTCTTTTTGTAGGCACTCCCCCATACCCCCATTCCCCCCCAAAAAGAAAAAAAAAGCTTTTGTGTGTGGATCTTAACTGTGTACATTTTATCACAAAAATAATGTTCTCCCTTTACAACGCTCTACGTGCCACTTACACCAAGACCCAGAGCTACTTGCTTTTAGCCTTGACTGCCAAGGGCGCGGAGCACTGTAGCTGGTAGTGCCAGGCCGCTGTGTGCATTTGGCACTTGCCAGTTCAGTCCTGGGAGCTGAGCTCTGGCCGTCCTGCTGCGCCTCTTTATCCCGTTGCTTGTTTTATGTGCCGCTACTTCCTGTTTTCTTTTGTTCGGTCTTTCTTTTGGCTCCCTGCTCTCTCCTGAAATTAGTCCCCATAGCTCTGCTTATGGTTCTCCCAGACCTCTGCGGTTGTGTCTTAGAGTCATTG